TTTTGTTAATTATTAACTGTTGATAATTCAAATAATAAAATTTTGATAATGAAGTGATTTAGTTAAATAATAATAAATCAAAAATTAAAATATAATCAGTTTGATAATTTAATGACTATTTGATCAATTTAGTTTTAGAAGTTAGATTAATAGCATTAACTAATTAGGTTGGTAATTACTCAGCCAGTTGTTGCAGTTAAATACACAACTTGATTTATGGATCCTCCACTAAACTAAATAAACTTCAAGATATTTTGATTAATAAACCATTAACTTTGGAAGACTAGCTCATGGTGGAAATTGATCAACACAATGAATTATGCCTAAAACAGTAATTAAAATAAATACACGTTTATTGAATTTAGCAAGCACGAACCAAGTCGCTTCCGTAGTAAAAGAATTGTTATTTTTTTTGAGGATCCGGGTTCAAGCAGCATAGATGTTAGGGGTGTGAGTGTTCCATGTTAAAAGATTGAAAGTTGTATTTGAACAGATACTGACTTATACTTATTTCAGATTAATAAAAAAAGAACAACTGAATTGAGATTCAAAAGAAAACTAAAACGAAGAAAATGTATAAACTGAATTGAGATTAATTAAATTTAATGATTGAAATTAAAACTTTAAAATTTATGACAAATTATTATTATTTTCGTAAAAGTTTACTTTTTTGCTTACTATTAATCTCAGTTAACTATTTTTACAAACTATATAAATATATGTATTTTTTTTAATATTTTTAATTGTGTCAACGTTATGAGATTTTTATTTTTTTTTTCTTCGGTTACAAGGTGTCCACGTTTGCGCACATTCCCTATTTCACAGGGAATTTAAAATGTTTGGTTTATCATTTGCTTTTAGCTTCATGGTTTAGGGGTCATAAAAGTAAAGGTACCCAAAAATAATAATAACAATAAATGGTGTGCTTTAGGAATAAAAGTGTTGCCATAAATAAGATTTTAATATGTTAAGATAATTAGGCCTTTTAGTAAAATAATTGTAATAAGTTGGGATATTATGATTAATTTTAATTAGATAGTTACTTTGGTTTTAGTATATATTGGATTAATAGTTTATATAATAATTAATCAGATCTTTCTCTATTAAGATAAAATCTATATATATACTAGATAAATATGATTTTTATTTAAATTAGTAAGACTTAATATTAAAAAAAATAGTAAGACTTAGAATTTCAAAAATCAACATGAGTTAACTTACCTAAGTGGTTAAAAGAATCGTTATTGTTCCTAGAGGTTACGGGTTCGAGTACCAGAAAATTACTCAGGGTGATTAAGTGTTTAATGTCAAATGATTAAAAATCTAAGAACAAATATTACCTTGGGTTCACTCCATATTAATAATAAAGAGACTTCAAATTTAAAATCATTTAGGATAAATTTACATTTTTAGTATATGAATTTAATTTCAATATTTAATTTGATATCCTAAATATTTTTATGATCCAACTAGATATATAATTTTAGCATTAAAATTCAATTTAATAATCAATTAAAAATTTATGTATACTATATTTTTATACAAATATAAGTCATTGGATTTATTAAGAAACAATATAAATTACAACGAAGATTTACAACTATAACCGTAAACTAAATGCATAATTAAGATATTTTAAATAATCATTGATAAAAGAAATTAATCATTTAATATCATATAAGGATCATACAATGAAAATGTCAAAACTCGTAAAAAAAAGTCGGACAAAATATAGATGTGAGTAGATCTGAATGTATCAATAAACAAACTATAATGGTAGATTAAGTTATTGAAAGATCATCGACACTCGTAAATTAGAGTTGAGTACTATGAGAAAACTATATTCGAACGCAAATTGTATATCCAAATTTAAGTTGAGGATCCAAAATATGACAAAATAACAAGTTAACAAATAAGTATAATATTTATCAGTCGAAGCGATAAAAAATTAAACGATAAAAATGATTTAAAATATTAAAATATTAAAATATAAATAAAAAATGTGTCATAAAAACAAAAAGATAAAATTATTAGGAAAAAAACAAAAGATAACCCAATATTAAAAAAAAACGATAAACATTAACGATAGGCGACTAACACATACTAGCCGAAGACAAGCGGCGCAAAGAAGGTGATGATTTCAGCAACTCGTTAATCATTTTTATATATATATATATATATATATAGTTTTATTGGAAAATGGCTTCGGTTTTAGTTGCCTAATCAATTAAAATTTTAGTGTGACAGCTTTAGCAAATTGTATTTAGATTTAATTGATCATTAGTTTAAAGGTTAAAAATAGATTTAATTAATTTTTTTTCAATAAATATATTGTGTTATACGTTTTCATATGTTTTTATGGCACATTTTCTTATTTTTTGGGTATATTTTTCGGTTCTTTGGTCTTTTTTTCATTTATATTTTTTTCTTCTTCTAAAGATTGATTTAATATCGTCACGACTAATCAAGATGGTGCTTATCTGATAATTTGTTTATATTCCCTGCTTTGGACCCTCAGATTGGATTTTGATACCCGATTTACGTTCACGGATAGATTTTCATGTCGTTTGATTCTGATTTGCGGTTTGTCGGTAGTATTTCAATAGTTTGATCCTCTTTTGTGGTTCGTTTGTCCATGCGATCAGATTTGTTTGTATCTATATTTGTTCGGATTTTTTGGTTAGATTTAATATTTCCTTGTATGGTCCTTATGTGATCTTAAATTGTTAGTTTTGTTTTACTGATTGTAGGAAATTTCCCTAATTATGTGTATGAAATTTCCTTAATTATGTGCTTAATTTATGGTTGTGATTGTATTTTTTTATTTTAATTTGAGATATTTCCTATTTTGAATAAAATTAATTACTTATGTAAAAAAATATGTTAAATGTTTTATATATACTTTTTTGATGCATTTTTATGCATGATTTTAATTTTTTTAACAATAATAAATAAATAAATAAATAATATTAGTAAATACATATAAAAATACATTCATGCACACAAAAATCTATATAACATAATAACAACAACAAACACAGGGAAGTCTGACGTGCGACAACCTAATATACGACTAAAAAAATGTGCTACCGGAATGTTATTATTTTTTTAACATTTTCGGTAAAAATTTACTTAAAACATTATTATTTCTACCGAAAATGTTATTATTGAGCGTTTTACCGGGATTGTTAATATACCAGTTAGAAAAAATAATGTTTATTTAGAGCTTTACTGTATATATTACCAAACCTGGTGAAGCGTCCAATAACAATATTTCCAATAGAAATAATAATATTTTAAGTAATTTTTTACCAAAAATGTTAAAAAATAATAACATTTTCGTTAGCACATTTTCTTAGCCGTATATTAAAGCTGCTTACGGTAGAACTTCCCACAAACGCAATGTTAAAATAATTTGATCCAAAGTGTCATCACAAGAAGAAGCTCGTGCCACTTAAAACAATATACATTGCTTTGTGTTAGCCGAATTGGGATTCGTAGAAGGAAAAAGTCATTTAAGCCTAGAAAATCCGCCAATAAATGATGAACCTAAGCCTGCGGCTTCCTTATTTGCTCGAACTTCTAGCATTATATATCTACAAGTAGAAGAGAATTCCTAACATGCAGGGGCAGAGTTCTTATAGGGCCCAAATGTGCTCCGACTAGGGCTGTTTATTCGGTTAATTCGATGGCTGGTCGAACTAAATTACTAATAATTGAACTTTTTTTTCTTTAACCGTTAACTGAATCGAATTTTTTTTTGAAAATATTAATCAAACCAAATAAATTTCGGTTAATTTTCGAATTAACTGAAAATTTTTAAAATTTTCTAATTTATATAAAAATTAAATATTTTTTAATTAAAAAAACAGTTTTTAATTATTTTAAATAATATATAATTATAAAATAAAAATTCATATAAATTTTTTAATTAATTAATATTGATTTAGGTTTAAAAGTTATTGGATCTTAAATTATTAATTGGGTTTTAAATGGTTTGGGTTGAGCTCATATATTATATATAATATTTTTAATATTTTTAAATTCAAAAAACATTTACAATTAATTTAAATAATATATAATTATAAAATAAAAATTTTATATAATTTTTTTAATTAATTAATATTGATTTAGGTTTAAAAGTTATTGGATCTTAAATTATTAATTGAGTTTTAAATGGTTTGGGTTGAGCTCATATGTTATATATAATATATTTAAAATTTAAAATTTAATTTCGGTTAATTAACCGATTTCGAACCGAATAAAGCGTTAATTGAATTCTAAAAATTTTCTTAACTGTTAACCGACCGAACTAATTCGGTGACCGACCAAATTAACCAAACTAATTCGGTTCTGTCGGTTAACCGAATTAGTTCGAAAATTTGAACACCCCTAGCTCCGGCCCCTGTAAAATTATTTTATATTCAATAGATTTTAATATAATAGTATTTTGATTAATGTAAAATTAAGTATGTGCTTTTGTTGTTGTATTTTGATCGATGAAGCTCAAACTTTTTAACTCACACATCTTTTACCCCCTAAATGCGATTTCGACTTCCATTTCATTGGAAAACGCCTTAATCTCCCTAAATCGATAATGAACTCTTCGATTTCTTCATCATTCGATCTCTACGATCCTCCTAAACTATATTGGTCGACTCATCATTCTCTTGTGATCCATTGTTCGGATTGGTCGTCAGTCCACCGAACCTATGCCACGTCGGCCCGTACGTTATGTTTTTAACGTGAGGTACTAAAATGAAACAAAAATTAAACGTTAGATATATATTTAAAAAATGAAAGTTTAGGTACTAACACAGATTAAAACTGATAGTTTAGGTACTAAATGCATAGTTTACCCAAAACAATTTTCATATCCACATGAAACGTAATTTTTCAAGTATATTAGTAATGCAAATAAAAGATTACTAAAACATTAGTTACCTCTATGTATATCAACCTTCTTATTTAAACCAAGCCCTTTTAAACCCTCCCCTAAAACCCCCTCTAAAAAAATCTTCCCTCTTTCGGATAACTGTGCGAAATGGCCATTCTGACCTGGACACCATCTCCCACGGCGGTGCCCATGGCGGTTTTCGCTTCATGGGACATCAAGCAAAGGCCCTCTTACAACCCCAACGCACCGCCAAAGCTGAAACCCATCCCTGACCTTAAAGTTCAACCGTCACCGCCCATTACCCTCCCGACCCGAACAGACCCATCGGTTTTCGATATCCTCAAGCAGCGTCCCACTCAAGGTAACCCATTCGTCGTCAATATCTTAGCACTGTGTAGACCAGATGTTTTGAGTGATTATTTCATTTTCTTAATTAATAATTGTAGAATTAGCGCCCGTAAAGGTAGATTCGGATGAGACTTATTTGGGATATGAACGATGGTTACCCTCCCCGCCGAAAGTGGAGAAGCCTCGATCGGTTTTCAATGCGGCGACTTTAGCTTATATCGGCGATTGCATTTACGAGGTTCTTTTACCATACCCTTGGAACATGTTATTTACTTTGCATAAACCTTATCTTTGTATGTGTCTTATATGTAATATTTATTGTTTTCTGCAGCTATATGCGCGTAGACATTTTTTGTACCCTCCGCTAAGTATTGAGGATTATAATGATCGTGTGACATCGGTTGTACGCTGCGAGGCACAAGTATGATTTTTTTAATGAATATATATTGATGTTTTGAGGTGTATTTCGGTTATTTGTGCATGTTCATAATCTAAAGTTTCTTTGATTGTTTTAGGATGCATTGCTACTGGACCTTCTTAATGATAGTTTCTTATCAAGCACCGAAAGGTTAGTGGAAATGTTCGTCATATATTTAAGCTTTTATCTTTATTTCATGTTAATTAGACTTGCGTGTAAGTGCATCATGGTATGTTCTAACTTTTTAAAAAAGTTGCCATGTATGCGAAGGATCCTTGGAGAGAACTCTCGTACCCATATTTGAATATGCTTTGGATGTTGGGCATGGGCGTCTCTAGAAAAATGAAGTGCTAGAGTAACATAGTCTTTGTTTCTATGTATATGCATGCCCACTACAATCTTTAAAATTTTGGAATTTCTGGTTTTAACATATTGAGTCGCAGTCATGCTGTTTTATAACTTATAAACGTGGAACAACTGTAAACAAAAATTGCTCTAGTTGTTCGATTAGTTAGAATAGATGGATTGGTTGGTGTAGAGTCTGTAGACATCAAATGTGTGTGGTGTAGATTGATTTCCTAATTGTATTCATCTAGTAATGTTGTTTCTTATGAATACAAAATTTGCAACCAAATCTACCTCAGACAGGGTGGGTTTTCTAAAACTAATAGTATATGGCTAGAAAATGATTGGTTGAAAGTCTTCAGGGAAAGTCAGACATTTGCAATGCCTCATATGAATGACTTATGATAAACATTCTTATGCTATTAAATTCCCTTTTCTATAGTAACAATACTCCTCCTCTGGACTGATTATATTTAAGAAAGCAATATTTCTAGATAATTTCAGATGATAATATGATTTTGGTGGAACCTTCTGCATGTGATTATTAATTCGTATATCAAGTGAATATTTCTCTATTAAGCTCAAGAGTAAACTCTTCAAAGTATGTGGTGCTCTCTTCTAAATGGTGATGAGAACAGAAGGTTTGACATTTAAGACAGTAAAGCGATTCCATGATGCATATTATGTCTTGTAACATTTGGACTAGAACTTTATATATATAAAACAATGAGTAATCATAGGGACAACAACCAGTTATTCTGTTGGTTAAGAAGAGGCATCAAGATTCAAGATACAGTTGTGCATGTCAGCACAGATCTAGAGATTTAAAATCTCATGTTTGCAACACAGCTTTTCGAACATGATTATGCAAAACCATTTTTTTGAATGTAATTTGAATATTATAATTGGAATTTTGTTGTTTTGACGCCAGGGATGTCCTTCGATGGGGAAAGAATATTAATTCTGCTAAAACAAAGACCAAAAAGCGTGCTGGTGCAGCAGTTTATAATAGAGCATCTTCACTAGAAACACTGGTCGGTTCCCTACGTCATTGTGTTTCTTCTGAAATAGTTTATAATTTATTTAGTTAATATTAGTATTGGAAAAGGGTTCTGCTCTTGAATTATTCTTTGGAGGAAAATTCTGGCTACCAATAGCCTACCGCTTGGTCCAAAATATTTCACTTATCGTAAACATGAATTTTATCGTGTCTGAAATCTTCTATTTATGACCTGTTGATGCGGAAAAAAATATGGAGATTTTCTGTTTTCTACTTATAAAATATTTTGGTATTTTCACTTTGCACTGTAATCCAGGTCATGTTAAGGGATCTACCTGTGCTATAACAGGTTAATGTCATGTTTCATCCAGTATGTCTAGAGATTTGACATAATTCCACTACTAGTTTATATGATGATTTTATTGAAATAGTTTTTCACTTAAATGTAAATGTATTTGTGAGATTTCATTCAGTACCTTTGGAGTCTGATTCTCTGAAAATCATCTTATAATTTACCATATTGTATAAGCATTGAGTTTTACCATTGTAATCTTGCACTCTAAGGGCATGTATGGTATCTTCTAGATACTTGGCCAGTTTGTTTCGGTTCAATATGTGGATTTAACATGTTTAAAAGAAGTCGCATGTCAAATTTTAAGAACCTTTTCTCTTGATTTAGGTTTTTAATATTCTATTTTGCAGATCGGATATCTCTACCTTACAAATGTGAACCGTTTGGAAAAACTCATGCTAAGGCTTGGATTCTCCACTGGTGCATCTGCAGAAATGATATTGAAGGAAATGAACGGTAAGTTAAAGTTAATCCAGAGTGCAAAAACAGCTCTTTGTCATGTCTCAAATATCCATTTTTCTCTAGATAATGTTGCCTTATTTTCAAACACTCATCCTTTTAATGTTTTAATTTTGGGAAGAAGGTTCTTGCTCTCTAGATAATGTTGCAACTTGCAAATGTGGTGTAGAATTATTGGAAAGTTGAAGCGGTAGTCATTTTGTGAACTGATTACTTTTTGATCTCTTCCCACTTGTATCAAAATGACCCTTTTATTATTAAAGAGAGAAAAATGGAATGAGAAGCCCCTGCAATATGACCGAGTATTGCTGTTCCAAGTTTCTGCTGTGTGTTCTTATCTTTTCACAGTCAATGCATCCAACAATAATAATAGTAATAATATTCTTCTTCTTATGTTAAACAGTTGCAAAACCAGTGGAGTAGATAAAGATGGTGCCGAACACTTTGTTTGCTACAACCTGGCTCGAATATATATATGACGAGAGAGAGAGAGAGAGAGTGGCCACATCATTTATTGCCTTTGGGTTCTTGCCAGTTCCTTGGAGAAGATTGAAGATGAGGCTTCTTGTAAAGATGTTTAAACAAAGTTTATTTGTAGGTTTTAATCTTGCCATTTGCTTTTTGTGTGTATCAAAACATTCGGTTTGTGAAGTTCGAAGGCAAAGTGCATAAATACAATTATACAGAGAACCATCTGAAAGCATGAGCAATTTTTTAATGTTCAGAGTTTAGGCATCCTATACCGAATAATGTATGTTAACGCGGAGAAGAGTTTCATATCCATGTTTTACTACTGGGTCAGGGACAATACCTAAGGTTGATTTCTTCACAGCAACTCCTTCAATTCAAACCATTATTTTTTTTAAAAATATATTCATTTAATTTTCGTTATAAAAATACTAGTTTTTAATCAACCAATAAATAGTGATTCGGGTTTCATCAGTCTGGTTTATCAAACAATTCTATTTGGCATAAGGAGAGAAAATAATATGGTTGACAAATGTGTGGTGCGGTGGAACATTCATGGGAGATTGAAGATACTAAGTCAATTCCTTGATACACTTGTATATTTATGTTGGTCAAACCATGGATTCTTCAAGCAGAATTAATCATATATAACTGCATGTTACTCCTCGTGCATGATGTTATCTTATCGCCGGCGTTTGAAAATTTCTCGTCACCTTAATTAATAACAGCAGTAAAATCTGAAAATGTAAACTTCTCACATAAAACCTACAAATCTCTTCAATCGTACCTGGAAACTTTTCCCCATACGTACCAGTTTTCATGGTCCTTAACGTTCAAACAAATAAGCTCAAATTTTATACAAATCACAAAATGTCTTCTTCAAGAAATCCCACCTTTGTTTATCTACTAATCAGCCTTGCTTTTCTTCTGCAGACAGCTTCAGGAGCTGAACCTCTGTTCCATTTTTGTTCAGACACTGGGAATTTCTCCGCCTATGATCCTTATGAATCCACTTACACAAGCTCTCTGGCCATCTCTCCATCCAAGCTCCTCCCTCGGGGTTCGGCCTCGGTTCCATTGGTCACAACCAGAACCGAAATTACGTCCTCGCACTTTGCAGGGGAGATGTGTCGAGCCGAGATTGTAAAACCTGCGTCGTCGAAGCAGGCGGCGAGATACGATGTCCCTACAACAAAGAGGGAATCATCTGGTACGATAACTGTTTTATAGTATTCGAACGTCGAGTTCTCGGGCCAGGTTGATAACCGGAACAGGTTCTACATGTGGAATTTGAATAACGTGAGTGAATCCCAGGCCTTCAATGAGAAGACCAAGGGGCTGCTCACTGAGTTGGCTAATCAAGCTTATGCCAATCCCAAAATGTATGCCGTCGGGGAGTCGGAGCTTTACGGATCGGAGAAGCTTTACGGTTTGACTCAGTGCACGAGGGACCTTTCTAGCGGTGAGTGTAAGAAGTGTCTTGACGGCATAATCGGCGAGCTTCCGAGTTGCTGCGATGGAAAAGAGGGTGGTAGGGTCGTTGGTGGCAGTTGCAACTTTAGATATGAAATTTAACCTTTCGTTAATACCTATTAATCAATTCTATGTGAAACGAAACTATGCCTATGAAATAATTAAAGTTTATGAAAAGTGTGTGTTTACATATACAGATTTTTTGTTACGGTCAAGGCTGAATATTTTTTTTATATATAAAAAATTGTTCTATAACTACTCATGACCATTATGAAAATGTAATATTTGAGTCGCTATAGAAGTTAATAATCAACATATTGTTGTATTTTATTATTATGATAGTATTAACGATGTTTGTTTTTCATCGCTGATAACGATAACTTTTATATTTTTTAATTAAGATTTTTAATTTGTTTCTTTATATTATTCTACCGTATAAAATTAATTAATTATAATATAAAAAAGTTATAACATATAAAAATGAAATAAAATATTATAAATTTAAAATGCATACCTATATTTTAAGGGTAAAGTATACAAATAGTCCTCAAACTTTTGGGCACTTGCATTTTGGTCACTCAACTTTTGAAACTTGCAATACAATCATCTTATTTTTAGTTCGTTTTCATTAAAATCCATGTCGTTACCTCCCGTTAGTTTTTGCTAATGTGGCACTTAACTGCCTTTAATTTTTTTGGCGTGGCAGCAAGTTCTTGTTCTTCTTCTTGATTCCTTCTTCTTCCTTCTCTTTCCTTTTTTTTTCTTCTTCTTCTCCATATAGTAGGAGAAGGAGAACCTACTGCTACATCAAAAAATTAACGTCAGTTAAGTGTCACATCAACAAAAACTGATGGAAGGTATCGGTAGGAATCTTACTGAAAAACAAACTAAAAGTACGAGGACTGTATTATAAGTTTCAAAAGTTGGATGAACAAAATGTAAGATTTCTAAAAGTTGGGGTACTATTAATATACTTTACCCATATTTTAAAAGAACATATATATATATATATATATATATATATATATAAAATTTAGAGTAGGCATTTGGATTTAGCAAATTTAGAGTGAGAGGTAAATGCGCTGTTTGAGATTTCATTATATTTGATCACCTGAAATGACATATATCTAACATTACATCTTGAACCGTTGAAGGTCCCGATAGTCCCTTGGTCGGTTCTTCTCTCAATAAACCCTTATTCAATTCAACACCTCCACATAATTCAAAGTTAGATTAGAATTTCCCATGCATCCTCGACTGAAAAGTTACACTGGAAATGAGAAGAGAGAAGCGAAAAAGGAAATTTGAGATCGAAAATGAATTTGGGGTTTAGAATGAAATTGAGGATTGTGTTGCAAGTTTTAAAAGTTAAGGACCTAAATGCAAGCGCCTGAAAAGTTTAGTGACCATATTGCAAATTTACTAACGGTAGTGTAACGACGTCAAACAATTGGTTACATCGGGGACCGTATTACAAACGGACTAAATGTTGGAGGACTGTATTTCAACTTTTAAAAGTTGAGGGACCTAAATGAAAGCTTTAAAAAAGTTCAGTGACCATTACTATACTTTAGCCTAATAAATATTATTTTTTATTAATCAAAAGGTCATAATATTTTTTAATTTAAAAGTCATATAAATTACTCTAATATGATCTTAAGTTACTAATTTTTGTATCTATACTTGTATGGTCCTCATGATGTTTCGATATAACAAATTAAGTTAAATGAATTTTAAGATTTTACAAAAGATTTTCTAAGTACATTCGATATAATTATTCGAATATCAAAATATTACTCCAAGTCTTTCAAAGTTCATTTTAATCCTTACTAAAGTGTAAAATTATGTTTTATACTTAAACTATTTTAAAACAATTTTACAAAGTATTTCGAGCCTTAATCGAGCCAAAAATATTCTCTTTTTAAAGGGTTTCAAGAAAAATCAGATTGTCCAGGGGGTACAGATTCCCCCCCAGGGGGTATCGATTCCCCGGGAACAGATTCCCCCTGTATGGTTTGGCTCCGAGAAATAACAGATTACTCGAAGGGAACCGATTCCCCCCTTGAGGGTACCGATTCCCTCACTGTTCATCAGCCCAACGGTCATAATATTTGAATATTATGAAGGGGTATCGATTCCCTATGAAGGGGTACCGATTCCCCCCATTCTGGGCAGTCTATTTTTGTAGAAAAATCATTCCCAAACGGCTCCAAAACATCCCCAACGGCTAGATATGACTTCAAACACATTCCAAGCTATAAATACAAGCTAAGGACACTTGAAGAAGTAAGAGAACAATTATCCAAGCAATCAAACACAAGAGAAGAGTTTTTCATTCTTATTTCATCTTTCTCTTGTAAATATTTTGTTCTTACCTACCTTAGAGAGGTTTTCTTGTTTACATCTTTTATCATATTGTAAAGGGGAAAGGTTCTAGCTTATCCCGTGTAAAAGCTAGGGAAAGGTTCTAGTTTAGCCCAGAAAAACTAGGGAGTTGTAAGGTTATCTCTTTGTCCTCAAAAGAAAGAACAAATTAGTGAATTTATTGGAAAATCCTTTGTGAGGAGCTAAGGTAGTGGATGTAGACTTTGGTTGAGAAAGTCGAACCACTCTAAATCGCTGTGCAATTTTCTATCTTTCAATCTCCTTACTCCCTAAACACAAAACCGTTCCGACCCCTCTTTGCAAACCATTCCGGTTGTCGATTCGAGCTTTCAAAAATCCCAACAATTGGCATCAGAGCCTAACTCGTTAAGAAGATTTAACCACCTTGAGACGATCTTAAAAGAAGCTCTACCAATTCCCTACACAACCGAGAAGATGGCTTCCACCTCCGGCTCGTTCCACATGGAAGACTCCCTACCAACAGACAAACCTCCATACTTCAATGGAGTCAACTATCATCATTGGAAGAAATTAATGAAGGTATTCATCCAATCCAATGATCTTGATGTATGGGAGATAATCGAGAATGGCTACTCTTCTCCAAAGAAGAAGGAGAAGAAGCGGAGTGACAACGAACGGAAGAAAGCTCAACTTAATGCCAAGGTCATGCACATGTTGTTTTGTGCATTTGGTCCTGAAATCTATGAAGGGATTTCTTCATGTTCAAGTGCCAAGGAGCTTTGGAATAAGCTCGAGGAAATCCATGGAAACAAGAAAGAAGAACCAACAAAGGTGGTGTCTCTAATGGCTTATGAAGAGCCTGAGGTATCTTCTAACTCAAATGAATTTAATTCATATACGTTTGATGAGTTACAAGATGCTTTTAATAGGTTATATTCGGAGTTTGAGACCATGAACTCCAAATATAAGAAAATGATTTCAAAATTTAAAATTGAAAACGATTTTCTTTTGAAAACAAAAATAGATTTTGAAAGCCAAAATGAAATTTTGAAAAAGGATTTAGAGCTTTCAAAAATAAAAATTGATAGTTTTGAAAAACAAAATTTTGATTTAAAAGTTAAGCTTGAATGCTTAACAAAAGAAAAAGAAATCATTTTAAATAATTCATTTAGTTCAATAATGATAATATGCTCACATTGTCATTAGCATGGTCATTTGGAAC